GCCTCGGGAGCCGAAAGTCGTCTTCTCCGTCCGCAAAACACTTTCCCGCCGGGAAGCTGACGGAGCCGGATCGAGGGTGAGCGCGGCCTTCGGCAGCGGTGCCCCTCCGCACCCCGACCTTGCAAACGCGAGCCTCCTTTATTCTTTGAAGTTACTGGCGCCCTAGGAAAGAACTGGTGCTGGCCAGGCCCCTCGCACCCCCTCTCCCCGCCTTTCTGCGGGGCGCCCGCTCGGTTCGGGGAGTCGGCCCCGCCCCAGGGAGGGCCCCGCTCGCACCCCCTCTCCCCGCCTTTCTGCGGGCGCCCGCTCGGTTCGGGGAGTCGGCCCCGCCCCAGGGAGGGTCCCGCTCGCACCCCCTCTCCCCGCCTTTCTGCGGGCGCCCGCTCGGTTCGGGGAGTCGGCCCCGCCCCAGGGAGGGTCCCGCTCGCACCCCCTCTCCCCGCCTTTCTGCGGGCGCCCGCTCGGTTCGGGGAGTCGGCCCCGCCCCAGGGAGGGTCCCGCTCGCACCCAGTCTCCCCGCCTTTCTGGGGGCGCCCGCTCAGTTCCGGGAGTCGGCCCCGCCCCAGGGAGGGTCCCGGCGCCGCCCGCCGCCGCCCGCCGCTTCCTGCGGGATCTCAGGCTGCGGGGGGTTTTCTTTCCCAACCAGCACTGGAGGTGCTCAGGTATATAGGTTCAGTGACGCATTTTTTTTATAGCCTTTTAAAATCAGAGATAGCAAGTCTCAAAAGAAAAAAGTCACATAAAGTTGAAACTCCACAGGATAAAACTATGCAAACTATGGAAAACAAAAACAACAGAAACAAAAGGAAATTCTCCAGCTCCCGCTAGCATCTTAGAGGTTACCTAGAGGTCTGCCCGGTTGCGCCACAAGTTAATTATTTGAAAGTGCCCCAAGTTTAATGATCAGGTAGGTGGGTTGGCTGAAAGATTGAGTGCAGTTTGAAAGTCAATACCTGACTTCCTTTCAGAGCCTGTGCTAGAAGAAAATGCCATATATTTATTTAGTAGGCCACTGAAGTAAAGTATATTATTCTAGGGATTATGTATTACCAGTTTTTTTTCTTTAGATTTTTAAAAAAAGGTTAAAAATTTCTATATATATGTTTAGAATAAAGATATCAGATAGTGAAAATATTAAAAGTACAACTCTTTTAAGAGTTTAAATCTACTATTTTAATTTAAATTCATTTTTATTTAACATTTCTTGCTTAGGTCTTTGATTTCTAAATACATGATAAACATGTTAATCCATTTTGCTTATTAGACCCTTTTAAAATATGTGCTAACATAAAAAAAGAAATCCTAATTTATTGGCTTTTAACCTTTCAGGTCTAAGATGACCCGAGTCCTCAGGACAATCAACTAATATTAGATAACTTTTCAGTTATAAAAATGGCCCATCTTGAAAACAATGTTTTCCTAAACCTCCAATTCTGCCAGTAGTGTGATGGTAAATTCTCTAGGAGACTAGGGCAACTCTTTCTTGATGGATGCTCTGCATTTCTAGATTTATAGCTCGTCATAATTTTCTTGTTTCCATTGGGTGGAAGAAGGCCTTGGTGCTTGGCATTCAGAATAAGAATTGTATAGAAGGATCATCAAACTGTCATGGACAATTTTAGGTCATATTGTTTGTATATGTGTGGGGAAGAACAAGGTTGGGGACAGGAAAACGATGCAGCCTAATAAATCAGGTAACTAGAAAATTTTCCAAATAACTACCAAACTTTTGGTATTTAATGGTAAGAAAAAAATTGAGTGGCCAGAGGACAGCTGGAGGTTTGCATCACAGGGATTTTACCTGTATTTCCCTGGTTCCATTAGGTGACTGAAATTTTGTGCTTTGCTGTTCTTCCTGATGACATTGTTAATCCTTGCTGTCCCAAGAAAGGTGACTAATTCTCTGTTGGTTTTACTAAAGGAAAGGGGAAGAACAGCGTGACTCACAATTACAATCTTCCTTTTTTCTTCATATAAGAAAATTGGCTTGTGTGTGTGACTCAATAAAACATTTAATTGAGAAGAAACCTTATTAATTGCATACAGTGAAGTGAAATGCCCCCTGAATAAGACTATTTATTGGTTAAATCACATTATCAGCAGAGCTATAAATCTCAGTCATCTCGTCCTAATGAAATTCACTGACTTTCATTTCCGTCTTTGTGTATCAGATCAGCTTTATGTCTATGTACATACACACATAAATTGTATATCTCAATGCATAAATAAAATTAAGACAATTTAAATTATTTTAATTAATTAGATACATTAACTTTGTGGATTCTTTTATTTTTTAAATGATAACGGTAATGATGACATCATATTACTTTTCTTGAAAAACTTACCAACAGTAGACTAGGGTCCAACAGTTGGATTTTTTATTATAATCAAAAAGGGATATAGACACTGTTATAGGAGCATGATTATTCCTGTAGGTTTTTTTAAAGGTAGCTTTTTTAGCCTCTGTTTGATAAAAAGGAGACAAAGATTTTACCTACAAAGAAGATGCACCCTTCTCCAAAGCAAACAGAACCCTAGGTTTCCATTCCTGTGGTAACTTTAGTTGTTTTTGACAGTGATTTTAGCTTTGAGAGACAGGAGTTGGCTGAGAAATGAATTTGAGTTGGATGCCCCTCCTAAGTAATTCTGTGGGAAAATGTCATGGTATTTCAATTGCTTGTGTGGTTTTCCCTGAGATGATGAGTTCTTTGAGGGAAGATACCATATGTTATTAACCATTGTGACTTCAGTACCAGTAATAGGGGTCATAAAGGAGCAGCTACATAAATGTTTGTTGATTGAAGGCAGAAATATACGTAGCCCTATGAAGCAACCACTACATTGCTCACAATATAAAATTATTTTGTGAAATTCCATTTTGTAATTATCTTCAGAGAATAAATTAATTTTTCCAAGGTTGTAAAAATCGGCCCTTTCATGATATATTTGATTTTCGGAGGTAGAGTAATCTGAAGCTAGATTTGAGTGAAAAAAGTAGTTGCTACTGCTGAACGATATCATATTTAGTTTTAAACGAAGCACAACAAGATAGATTTGTGTGTTTTTTGAGGGTATGATGGACTCTGCAAACAGTTCCAAGAGAGGCATTCCAAAAATGCTTTGAGGAGTGGTTGCATCATTGAAATGATGTTTCCCTGAAGCACAACAATGCAGTTATTACATGTATAAGTTTTATGGCCCTTATAATTTCTACCTTGCTTGATGGCTTCTACATATAGTCTTAAATACCATATTTGACTCTACACTGTTTGAGTCCAAGCAACAAATATCCTTGGACCTTGACTCCTTCATGCCTCTCAGCACAGTACTTTATATACAGCAGAAACTTAACACACATTCATAGGGATTATGAGCACATAGGAACACATATATAAACTGAGAGTATCAAGTGGCTTGGGCATGTAAGAGTAAACACTTTAATATATTGCCTCTTGTATTTCTTTAAGAGTTTGGAATTTCGAAATTTTTATTCTTATAAAAATCTAGTAATTTTGCATGTGATTTAGTAATTCAGCATTACAGAGTAAATTATTATAGGACCATAAATAATTGGGATACTCAGGAAATAGGGTGTTCTGAATAATTTAATTTTCTGGTTAACTTGGAGTTAGGCAGAAAATCTTTTTTGTTTCATTTCTTTTTCAAAATTCTTTCTGAATATGCTAATTTCTGATCTTAGGCAAAGAGCATCATTAAAATTTTCTTTGATAAATGAGGATATTAAAATGCCTTTGGGTAATCATTACATACCTTAATTCTCATTTTCCATGATCATATATGTAAAGAAAAAAAAAAAGGTTTTAAGTTTGTATTGTATTTCTTTTCACTATATTTAGTTACTCTTGGATGTTATTTTTGAATGGGAACAAATATGTGATATGTATTTTTATAACATTAACATAGAAAGAGCCAGAATATGTCCTCTATTTGTGTTATGAATGTATTCTTCACTTATATTTGAATATTGCCACAGTCTTTGGCTGCATAATTATTGGTCCAATTTTATTTCCATCACAAATGTTATATTTATAACTTTATAAGTATAAAAAATTATATAACTTGTAATAATTAACCACATATAATAATTTTTTTATTGTTTAATCTTTGATTTAGCCTTTTCCCTAGTAACAATTTTTGCATTTAAAGTTTTTCTGAGTTATATGTAGTTTTGAATTTGTAAGTTAATTCTTTACCTCTGACATACTTTTTTTGTCTTTGTTACTTTTTCAGAAGTTTCCACAAATCACAATAATTTTTAGACAGCATTAGGACAGTAATCATGAACAGCAAAGATTTTGTAGTTCTTCCATGGGGAAAACCTGGACATTCTGTAAAGCTGAGATATAAGTAAGTGCATCCATATTTACTTGAGAACTCATTGTTAAAGGTTCTGTGTATTATAATTAAAAGTATTCTTTTTACATGAGGCTGTTTAGAGTTGAAAACAAATTTTATGAATTCTTATCTCTGTTTTCCACAGCTGAATTTTTATAAGAGAATCTGTTTGAAATATTATAAATCTATAATAGTTTAAAAAGTAAGGACTAAAAATATTTATGCCACAGGAATCGAAGGAAAAAGTTATAAATGAAGGTTGGTCTTAGTATTAAAACTATGACAGAAAGTTACAAATATTTTTGTGACACTTATTTAAAGAAAAAATTGCCCTGTAGAAACTGAAAGTCAAAATTAAGGAGACTATTAGGGTGAGTGACATTTTAACAGGAGAAAGGAAGTATTCACTAATCTAGCACTTTGCATATTATAAAAGATGCTGCGTTGAACTCACCTGTCTCAGGAAGAGTACCTTCTGTCCTAGATTGCCTGGTAGATGCATTCAGCCAGAGCCAAGTAGTTCTGGGTATCCTGGGAATTTCGTGAAATGGCAGGGGCTCCAGAAGGTTCAGTGTACTGTTGGCCTTTGAGATCATCTAGAGTCACTGAAAATTCCCAAGTCCTTCCTCTCAAATATCACTAAGAGCCAAGCAGCATGGGTTGAGGACAGACTGTCAATTTTTAATTTTAGCTTCTGAGTTCCCTACTCCAGATCAATAGTCCTGTTCTCCCCAATTCTCCCTTTACTGTAAAAGCATTGTGTAAACTGAAAAATGTACAAATTTATGGCATTATCACGATAAGGATTATCATTTTTCAGTGGGGAGGGGAGCTATGCAATTGCTAATATTACCAATTTTCCTTTATTATGCAAAAAGAGATGTGCATTATTTGATTTTCATGATATGTTCCAAGTCTGTGGTATATAAACATTTATCCAACAAACATTTAATAAGAGTGCTTAGGGAATGGTGGAAACAAAAGTAGGAAGTCACAATCTTTGTCCTCAGGTAGCTTGCAGAGGATGTGAGTAGGTAAAATTACATTTACAATACAGCATGAGCCATGATGTGATGTGAAAGCACAGGGTGCTACGAGAACATGCCAATTGCTGGGTTAAGGTTAGCTGGTCTCCAAGCTTTGCCTGACATGCAGTTAGTTGGGTGAAACTTGGGCAAGGGCACAGAGACACATAGTTTGGGGACTTTCAGACATATCCAGTTGGCTAAGATTTATAGAACAAAGTTGGAGAGAAGAGCAGGGTTATATAGATAATAAACTAACTTGTATACCACAGTCAGGAGTTTGGAATTTATAATGGATATGAGGAGGAATCACTGTTTCCTGTCCTGTATGTCCCCCTGATCCATCCATGATCCACAGCCCATAAAAACTAGAACTGAAACACCCACTCTATGGTAATTGCTCTGGAGTTTCCTTTCTTGGCCTTTCCTTGTTCCAAGCCTATTTGCATTTGACATTGTCTTAACAATTATCTTTACATTTGTCTCACATTTTGGTGTTTTCCAACCCCCCACTCACTACCTCTTTCCCAGCCCTGAACCCATTTCAATGGGTTGTTTCTGGCCCTTGGATTTGTTGTGTTGACAAGGTCTCTGCACGATCAACCTGTTTTCTTCAGTGGCTTTGCCTGCCCGTCTGGCTCTGTGTCCAAGGCTGTCTCCAAGAGAAAGCCTTTGTCTTGTTCCAGACACCTAGAATCCCACCATTGACTTGACCCCTTGGTCTGTAGGCCAGTCTTGTCTTTTCAATCTTACCCATTTCCTCTACCACAGTGGGTACTTCAGAAACATTAAAAGTTCTCTCAAACGAGTGACAGTCATAGTTGTGCTTTTGAAATTTTCCTCTGGAAGCCAGATGGAAAATGTAGGCCCTTGAGACTTTGGGCTGGGGGGACATCAGCTCAGGGCCTACTCCTGAACTGTCCCTATCCCATCCCAGAGTGATCTAATTCAGGAAATGACATTGTTGTCCTCCTGGTCACTCAACTAAGAAACCTGGGATTGTATGAGTTTTTTTCCTTGCCTCTTCCCTGGACTGTAACCTACTTCTGGTCAGTCTCTATGTCCAGCTAGTCCTATTTTCTTATATTCTCAAATGCTCCTAAAGTCTCTAGTCAGAGCAGCACAATCTCTCTATCATTAAGATCATTAAAATAGTCTCCTAACTGGTTGCCTTGATTCCGGGCTGCACTATCATTTAATTTTCCATTATGCAGCCAGAGGAATTTCCCTAAAATGCAAGTCTGATCAATTCGGTTAACATCCTTTAATGAGTTCTGTTGCTCATAGAGTACAAATTCCAATTCCTCATCGTAGCCTACGCGGCTCCTTATGATCTTGCCGCTGTGGCGCTCAGAAGTTCCATTTCCTCCCACTTTTTCCATCCTACGCTTAGTGGCCAGTCAGGTAGAATTCCGCGTTCCTTGGCCCACACACACATCACTCTTTTCGGCCTGTACCTGTACTTTCCTTTCTTCCCGGAACACTGCTGTCACCAGCTTCCCGTTGACTGGCTCAGTCCTTTTGTACCTTAGGGTTCAGCTCAGTCTTCACTTTCTCCAGAGACTGTTCCTACAGTTCCGGGGGCTGGCTATGTGCCCTTTCTGGATGCTCAGGCACCTCCCTTGTACATCTCCAGTGAGCTCAGCATCACACTGTATCTCAGTTACTTCCATGCTTGTCTGTGTTCCTCTCTATATTGGAAGCTCCATGGAGTTTCATATCCTATTACCTACTTTAGTGATTGTATGTAGTAGGGGCTGAATTACTCCTTGTGGAGCAGATATAATGAAAATAATGCCTCTCCTTCAGTATCTTTGCCAGCTTCTCTGAACCCTTGCACAGCCTTTTCCTCATAACACTTTTCACATGTCTTCCTGGGTTTTGTCCATTTGGGAACATATCTTTGGCCCACTGATCTTTGATGCCTGCTCACCATCTCTAAAAGTTAGTTTCCCCTTCTGATCTCCATTATTCTTACTTTGGTCCCCTGCTATAGCATGCACGGGCGCCTGTGCTACAGGGTTAGAGTAAGCCACTTGTGATGAAGAAGGTACAGATGGAAACTCGTGACAGATCATCAAAGATAAACAGGTAGGCTGGCTGAGACCTGTGAGAGAGGCAATGACGAAGGCTGACTAGGGAACAGAATTGCAAGAGGAAGAACATGGCTGTGTCAAAAGCTTGATGAGCTTCAGATATTGTTATCAAGATCTCTTGTACAAGAATCTCTGAGGGGGCTCTTCTCTGACCTCAGAAAAGGTCTCTTCTTATTGCTTTTCTTCAGAGGAAATGATTGGTGGTGCTTGGCTCAGTTCCCATTGAACCTTTTTGATGGCTCCTATACCAAAACCCTTAATAAGTGCTTTCCCCAAGCAGGCTCTGCTCTCTCTCTCTTTTTTTTAAATTAAAAAAATTTTTTTTATTATACATACATGAAATAAAGGTAGAAATTTACTGAAGGTTTAGCAAAAATATGTATTCCACTTATACAGAAAAAATAGTTGTTTTCAACAATGTGCTTCAAACCACTTGAATCCTTGGAGAAAAGACAGTATAAAAATTAAAAACTAATTTTTCCTAAGTTTTCTATTGTGTGCCATAGATATTCGTTCATACATAAAGGCATAGCTCATATATAAAGTGAATTACTATTTAAAACCTCTAGTGATGCAGAGGGGGAAAAAACCGAAAGCCTAAGATTTGCAGAGATACCTTGCTTAAGGAGAGTATTAATAGAAAGCAAAGGCTAATTTCAAAGGAAGTAGTTGAAATGCTTCACCATTATTTATTATTCATAATTTTGCTTGAGAGAAAAAAGATGATGTAAAATCATTTCACTGTGATTTTATTTGTTTACCCCAAATGAACATTCTGCCTTTAAATCTTACTCAGAAATGTTCAAGAACTAAAGATGGAGAAAGTGAAGCTGGAGCTGGAGAACCAGGAGATGGAAAAGAAACTGCAGGACTTCCAGTCAGCAAGGAGCAAAGGCCAAGAAGAAAGAGGGTAGGAGGCATTCTTGGAGAATGTCAGAGGAATAAGCTGAGCTATGTAAATAGCTGTTCTATACACTATTATCACTCCAGTGAAGATTCCTCGTGAATGAATAATTCCTGGCTTTTCTTGATGAACAAGCAAGAGTAAATTTCCTCTACTTTTTCTTTTTGTGTTTCTTATATAAAACGTGTTGCTTTTTAAAACAACCAGACCATTACTTTTGTTTCTTCTGGACCTCATTTGCTTTTCCACTTTTTTGTTTCCCTTCTTACATTTTTCTTCTGAATCACTCATAGTCTGGAATGTTCAGGACATTAATGCAGAATTTGCCCTTTGTTCTCATAAAATGGCCATCCGCATGAGATTGCCAGTTTACATTTAAAGCAATTTTTGTTTATAAAAAGACTTCTGGGGGGCAGGAGTTTACATGGACATATATAAGAACTATTCAAACCCTAAGTCTGTTCAAAATATTTTTAACCAATATGCTTTAGCTGAAATTTATGAATGAGAAATCTCTAATATTATGCTTGTGTATCTGTACTAATTTTCCTGAGAATTTGGTTGTATTATAGAAATAATAAATAAATATGATTAAAGTAAAATAGAATTGATAGTTACATAATGCAGGTTGTCTCTTCTTAGCTCTAGACCGATTCCCAGCCCATTTTACAACATTGCTTTTAACAACTAAAAATTCTTTTTGTGTTTTTTTCTTTATTTTCTTTTCCCCCCATTACCATTTATCTCCACACACCCTCTTCCACCTCCCCCACCCCTCCCCCCTGCACTCACCACACTGTCGTCTGTGTCCATGAGTTCTTTCTCTTTTTTTCTTTTTCGCTCATTCCCTCCACCACCACCCTCCACACTCCCCCACCAGAGCTGCCAGCCTGCTCTCTATCTAGGAGTCTGTCTCTATTTTGCTTGTTAGTTCAGTTTGTTCTTAAAGTACACATATGAGTGAAATCATATGGTACTTGTCTTTCTCTGACTGGCTTATTTCTCTCAGCATACTAAAAATTCCGTCACCACAAATGTCATATCTTTATACAAGCCTGTGTGTGTGTGTGTGTGTGTGTAGCTGACATGTCTTTTATGTTTTTACAGTGCTTCCTGCCAAATGAGCACCCATTGATCTCAGTTTTTAAATGGCTACATAGTTTTTCTTTGCTTGGATATAATGGCATTTATTTTTCAGATTTTTATTAAGTTTTCAGTATTTTTGTGATTATATGTACTCTCATGAATATGCTTTCTATATCTTTTTTCTAATATATGCAATGTATCTGTGGGATACATTTCTACCTGTATAATTTTAGGTCAAAGTATATGTGTAGTTTACATATTCGTAGGCATTGGAGAAATTGTCTTTCAAATAGGCTTCAAAAGTGTGTAACATTCTTCTATAGTGAATGAGAGTGTGTGTTTCACATGCTTTTGCTGGTACTAAGTATTATCAGACTCTTTGTATATGAAATTCGCTTTTGTTTGGTGCACAAAGTGATGGTCATAAAATATCTATGAAGTACGTTCTGAACCATTAAAGAAAATTCAAATGTTTATTATAGTTTTAGTAGTATTTACTTTTAAGTCTAACTCTTTGGAAAATATTCATGACACATACACACACACTTTCTAATACCAGAGTATTGGTTTAATCAAGGCACCTCAAAGTTCTATGTCACCCCAGGTGACAGTTTACTGTGTACTTTGCTGCTCTTCTCTTGATCCAGTGACCAGGTCTGTGTTTTTGGAACTTCGCTGCTTTGGACTTCTCAGTGGATCACAAATATGTCTGTGAACCAGAGTTTCCGAAGTCAGCCCCCAAGAGTGAGTTTTCGTTAGCCGAGGAACCTTTTCTAGATATTTTTTTAAAAATGTTCTAAAGTTTGACTGACTTTTCGGGAGAATTAAATGCTTTCCTAAGGTTACATGGATAGTAAATGTCACAGCCAGAAAGAGAATGCGCCCCTTACTGCTTAGGAAGTTAGAAGTCCAGTGTTCTCATCTTGGCTTTATTATTTATTATCTGTGACCTTGGACAAGTTTTTGTCTCATTATTTTTAAAATGGGAACTGGACTCCCTGCCCTGTTGACTTCAAAACAATTTGTGAGTCTCAAAGGTGCTTTGAAAACTAAACGGTAAAGCTCCACAGTGTGCTTCCTTTGTAATCGCTGTTACCTTTCAGTGTGGGATGCTTCCTTGCCCTCTTTACATTACTTAGCTTTTAAAACGGCACGGCCATCTGTAAAATTTCCTATAAATCAGTAAAGCTATCTTGAGTCATTATAATGTCTAAAAGTAGAATTCTTCATCTGTTTGGACATTTCATTTTTATTCATTTTATCTCAAATTTCCAAATGTGGTAGAGCTATATTTTAGAATTACTGAGGTTGGTGTGGCATTATTGATGTTTCATTTTCATTTTGTGGTGGTCTGTTACATGTTAGCAATTGAATTTCCATTTCTGGAAACAGGAAAAATGTATTTGTTTTCATTAAAAGGAGAAATGTGTTTAGTTATTACATTTTATCTTCTGTTGTTTTGTATTGAAGGTCAAGTGACTATCGCTGGAAATCTGGAAAAGTGGGAAAATTGGGTAATCAGTCACAGATACTGTCACAAAATAAAGGGAATGTTATTAAGGTAAGAACTATTTGATTCTCAAGCAATTTGCTAAGCAATAATATATGAATTATTTTTTGTAAGTCTTGCATCCCCTTCCATACTTAAGAACTCACTGTTCTTGTTTTAACAACTGCATGTTATTGGATTTTGATTAATTTTTTATGGGTTATATAGAACTTTCATATTCAGATAGCTTTCTGTTTTCCATCTGCAAGTTGATTTTTAGAAATTCACTGTGAGTTGAACTTTTTTAAACTAATTTTTTTCTATTCAGTTCAGTTTTGGTTTCAAGTACGTGAAATAGAACTGTGTAGTTTTATATTAAGGTGAAAGCAGTTATTTGATGTAACCAAGGACAGTTACTTTTTCTGCCTTTCATTATATCACATTTGCTTAATGTGTTGACGTTCTGCTTGGATAAAAATTATTATTCATACCCTGTTGATTGCATATGTGAAGATACCCAAGAGAAAACTACTTACAGCTTCCCCAGCTAGAGAATTGTTCTATCTTTACTATGTATTGTAAAACACAACATTACGTTATATGTATGATTAAAGCCAGATGAGTGTCTTTCTGTAAAGAAGACTGTTTTGCTTCTGAATTCTTTAGTACAAGATCCGTGACTTTGTAAGTCTTAACTTATATAGCTTTTTCTTTTTTATATACCTATCACCAAACCTTCGGTGGACAGTTGGCATCTACAAACATTTTACTCGGTGCTTCTAAACGTTTCTGCTTTGCAAAGCATTTTATTTTTATTCTTATTTTGTTGTTGTCGTTGATCCTTACCCAAGGATATTTTTTCCATTGATTTTTAGAGAGAGGGGAGGGAGGGAGGGAGGGAGGGAGGGAA